TATACTAAAGAATTACAAATAATTAAACAAATAGCTCACAATAATGGCTATGATTCCAACATTATCGACAAGTTAATTAAAAATATACAGTATAAGAAAGCTATATACAAAGTTCTCCCTCTGTCCGCAAGAGAAACTGCACCGTATCATGTAATTACTTACTTACTTAGATTACTAGATTACTTAGACTAATTACTTAGATTAAACAGCACTTGAAGAAGTAAAATATAAACATAGCTTTTAAATCAAATAAAACTTTACAAACTATCATCAAAAATAATAAAGATCAGACCGAAAAAGAAAACAAATCAGGCATTTACGAACTTAGTTATGGTTCTTGTGATAAGAAATATAGAGGACAGACAGGTAGAGCTTTCAAGTTTAGACTCAAGGAACACGAAAATGACTACGAAAAACAACTAGATACTTCTAGTTATGCCAATCACATTCTTAAATGTAATCATATTTACAATAACAATTTTAAGATTTTACACACATGTAACAAATGATTAAAATTAGATGCATTAGAAGTACTAGAAATTAATAAATTAAAAGACTCTAATATCTTATTGAATGACATGTTAAATTTGAATAATTCGCCTCTACTTAATTTAGCTTTGAAATGACCAGTATTATTGACTATATACGATTTGTATGCATTTGTGTGTGTACGTATGAATGTATGAATGTATGTATGTATATAGCCCCTGTTATCTGATTGTCGACCACGGCGCAGCGTGTATGTTCTTGATAGAACGCTGTATATTTTTAAGTCTTGATGTACATCTGCCTGACAAAGGTACTGTGATACCGAAACAGCTGTAACACGTTTTTAACGAATAAAGTGAAGATCGACAGTACATTATAAGTCAACTTTTTCATTTAATTAAATACATATCGTTCGATTATTTACCACCTTGGCGTATAAGAGGTTTTCCATAAAAATGCGTGTTAAAAGTGACAGCCAGCGCCTATACCCTACTATCAGCTGGCACTTCGCTGAGTGTAAGATAACGTAGCCAGGAGGACAAGGCCAAATAGATGTCTGTTACTCCATTGTAGTTGCTTCACCTTGGGACCCAGAATGACATGTAGCGTCTCTACTCATGGAAAAAGTCGGAATCCTGGAGAGAAGCTAGTGGCATTCAATTCACGTAGTTTATATGTCTTTTTAAATATCTTAAAAGTTGAGTGTTTCATGATTTCCTAACATTCCCTCAAAATTATGTCCTTGAATAATCATTCCCCCGAATGAATTCCCAAAGTTGGAGTTTCTGAAAGAAGGAAAAGCGAGTCTATTGTTATCAATATAAACAACTATTAACCTCGTTTGCATAACTACCATTTGCATAACGTTGTGTTTCTGTAGAATTTTTTTGATAAAAATTTGTCGTGTAGGAGTGAAATTTGAAATTAATAAAAATAAATACGAAACTAGAAATAGTAACTAAAGTGCTGGAATTGTAAGAAACTGTATGGTAAGGAATGCATGGCAAGAGCCATACCTGTCTGCACTCCGGATGGAAACAAAGTTGCCAACGTCATGAAAGGTCCAGACGTTTCTAAACATACGCATCCTCCGAATCGAGAGGAGACCGAAGCTGAAAAAAAATGTTGAAACTGAAACGCAAAGCTGCAACTCATTTCGATGATCATCCTCTGGCAGCAATATTATGAGAAGAATTAGCTGATGTCAACTCAGGGGTGATTAGTTACATACTAGAAAGAGAAAATGTATAACAAACTATATGTCTTGTAAGAAACAAAAATCAATTACCTCGTCCCATTTTAATTAGAGATGCATATGATATACCTGAAAGTAATCGAAAAATGGCAACAAGCGATCAGTTTTTAATGTGTGACTCAAGGGACTTTAGTGACCTGGCAGAAAATTGAGAGCTCATTTTTGCAACGAGAAGGAACATTAAGCTCTTGATGTTAATTTTCATGTGACTTTAAGACAGAACGTACAGGGTTCTGCAATAAAATGTAAACTTTGCATTGTGATTCATAATTTGCGATTTTGAAAATGTGTAAATTCGGTTGCATAGTTGGCTCCTCACATTTTGTGCAAGTGTTCAGAGCACTTGAAAATGTTTTCAGAACATCTCCTAGTTGTGATTAGGAAGTTGTCACATTGCCACTTGGATACGGGCTCTGCTGACTTATAAAGAATCATAAACAATATGCAGCAGCTCTCAACGCGATTATGTTTAAAGAAGCGGAGTACGGTATAACATATTGTCAACCGGAAATGATCTTGTGCGATTTCGAACTGTCTATAAATGCGCGTACACAAATTTTTTCTTACGTGATGATTTGCACTTCTTTTTTTTACCAGAGCCAAAGGCTGTACCATCGCATTCAAATTGAAGGGTTGTAAGTAGCTTATAATAATGCGGAGGGAAAATTTCTTACATCTGAAGAAATAAAAAATTTTGTTGATTATTTTCATGCCACGTATGTGAATGGTATTTCAGCACGAGGTAGACAACGAGCGATACCACCACGGTATGCTATTTATAGATGGAATCAGTATAATGTGGCTCGCGAAAGTCTGGCAAAAACAAACAACGCGCCTGAGGGTTGGCATCATAAGTTTCATTTATTTATGGCCATAAACTACCCCAAACTGCATTCTTGCATAATGCATTTTCAAAAGAGCAAAAAAATACAAAAATTGCACTCGTCGAGCTTTCTCTTGGAAAAATAGTCAAGGCTGCTACAAAAATGAAATGAGTCGAAGCGCAACCACGGCTTTAAAAAATTCTACTAAATTATAAAACATACGACATCGAGAGCTACCTGAAAGATATTGGGATTGCATACATGTATTTCGGAGATACGATATTTTAGGTGAAAAAACATTTGGGAGATTTTTTATTCGGGGAAATGATCGGGAACGCCCTTGTATAGTAAGATCTGAGGCGTCAAAGTTGTAGAACATTTAATTATAAGTAACTGCTTTTTTATCCTACGCAAAGGCGTTGTCATACTACAACCGTCAAAAGTATGAAGATCCTAAAAAATATGATGCATACGTAGTATGTAGTTCATCCAAACGTTGCGTCTGATCGACGTTTTGCTCTCAATGTTGCTATATACATGATGAATTTGATACAACGAACAGTTCTTGCTTGCATTTATCAAACTTTTAACGGCTTAATGCCAGAATGCCAGCACTGATTTTCATGGGATAAAAAAACATTAGTAATAATATTTACTGCACGTTTTCCGCTATATTATAAAATGCTTACTTTATTAGATTTTTCAAGATATCTGCAGACTATGTGAATTGATACCACTAGCTTTCCCTCATGTTTAACTTAATCGACACCATGGGCGCTTGCGCATATCGTTTTATTCCCTCCAGGTTCATGATTGTTCTCAATACAAGTATATACATTGCACCTACGTAGTACGTAACCGAATTTTTACGCACCCACGGTAATCCCACATAATTAGTAGGTATTGACTACGAGTACATCTTTGGTGGCGCCGCCAATACCGGAGTTGAGTACCAAATTTTCTAGCATGAAAGCATTGGATCTTATGGGAACGGTTCTATTTTAATTAACTATAATTCTACTTTCATGTGGTAATTTATATAATTAGTACTTCTTACAAGAGATTGGTATACTTAATCGATTTTAAATTATTTTGAAGTGATTACTCTCTTTGTTACATAGTCGAAATTATTCTATACTAGCCAGGCAAGGTCAGTCAGCCCATTAGATGAGTCATATACATAGGTATTCGCTGTGTGCAAGTGTATTGGCACCATTTGATGGTCAAATGATGCGTAATTTCAGGACTTGAGGGGATCTAATTCTATAAATAGCAAATATAAGTTTACAGATTTATTACGACAGTAAATATGAAAGCAACAATAATTTCAACAGTCATGAACATCCTAGTTGTCTGTTATGTACAATGTTAAAGCAAAAAGTTACACCAACATCCGAATTATTGAAACAAAAACGCCACTAAAGCCAGTAACATAACCTCAAATTGTAGTATCGAAGCAGAACAAACTCATCTCGACCGTAAAGTTACGCAGGTATGACGTAAATGACGATAAGTGACATCTCCAATTGCTTTATTTTATTAATTACCATTTGTATTATCAAAGATTACATTCAATATCTTTTCATTAAAAAAGCTGTGAACCATAAGTTTATCATGATAATAATTATTTTTACCTCTAGTGATTCGAAATATTGAAAAACTCAATAACCTGCAATCAACAATGTTATGAGTCCTCAAGAGTCCTAAAATTTTGCACATTTCTCTCACCATGGGCTCTTAGATCGCTTTTTTTTACCCCCTTTAAGAACTTACACACAGCAAATAGCTGATACGTGTTATTTACTTGAAGAGCCCCATGACCCGTGATTTCTTGTTTTTCTAATATGTTTGATATGTTTTTATTGAATACTTTTTTTTGATAAACTATTCCAATATCTTGTGATAAATACCAGTTCGATAAACTGTTACATAAAAATAGAATTGAAGTAAATTAAAATAGAACTGTTCCCATAAGATCCAATGTTTTCATGTTGCAAAATTTGGTACTAAACTCCGGCATTGGCGGCGTCACCTGAGATGTGCTCGTAGTTAATACATGAGAGCTAAGTGATTTTAAGATAAGGCAACTACAGCAGATGTCTATTCGGCTTTTTCATCCAGCTTATGTAATCTTATAGCCATATCTTCTTTTTTGTGTTCCCAGTCTCACTAATCCCACAACGCATAAAAAAGCTTTAGTCTAGTACCAATCAATTTTTTAAGGTAAAATAGCATCTTGTGTTTGCCTATTTGTGTGAAATAATTTTTTCTTATTGAATAAAGCATGTTAATTAACAATACTAAGTTATTTATTTATTTAAAAAACTAATGAACACATACATAATAGACCTTACCATGGTAACGAAAATGCTAAGAGTATTTAATACCATACAATAAATTGAATAGACTTAAAATAATATAATGAAACTAACCTGTTGAAGCTTATAATGATTAATTATATCTTGGTCAGCCGGGCAGCTTTGGAGGAAAGCGTCAAGTCTGTACATGTGATGCATGTACCGCCACAAGTGCACCATGCTCTCTGGTATCTCGAAGTCAGCAAAGTACTTGCCAGCAACGCGGATGTGCTGCAGCCGAGGCATAAGCTCACAATCAAAACAGCACATAGTATCACCAGTAAGGAAACGTGTACCCTTGCGGCCCAAGTGATCGTCGATCTTGCGTAGGTGAGCCATCAGTGATGATGACTTTGGATCTTTGTCTTTGTCCTTCGCGTTGAGCAACAGGAGCTTCAATTTCTATGGATTTAAGAATACTTTTTGTACTACAAAAGATAAGAAAAAATACCTCTGTCGAAAACAATTTAATAGAAACTAATAGTTGAGTAAAACACAAAATCATGGTTTATTTTTTGTGCACTTTTTTAAGGTTTTATTGTATGAAAGAGGCACAACTTTTGGTGTACTCTGTGCACCAATCCTCGATACATCATTCATCATATTTATTTTTTAAGATTGTTTATGTCAGAGTAGACGACTATATCAATAAATTGAGTACAACTGGGTGTGTATTCATGTGTCGTCCTGTGAGCAGTTCTCGTTCCACTAGTCAACTGGATTTTGGGTACCACAGCGCATATACGAGTCCATGTACTCATTTATAAATAAAACGTGTAAGAAATTTGCATAAAGAAAAAGAGTGTTGTCTGTAATCATAAATTAACTAAAAAGCAAAAATGATTCCCATGTTCTTGTATTACTTTCCCTCCTTCATACACATCCAGTTTCAGTGACAATATTCAAAATTAATAAAATAATTAGCTTTTTAAGAAAAAAATTACTGTCTTAATATTCATTTACTTTCACTTACGAGAGCGATAGGAGCTTGCCTTTTCTATTTATATCTCTGTAGGTCAGTTTAGTACATAAGATAAAAAAGAATATTCAAACGTGCATACAAGAAAAGAGCTTATGAAACAAGTAACTTGCTGCAAGCCAATAGAACAACAATTTTTCAAAGAGTCTCTTTCTGTTTTAAACTTTAAAATTATCCTTAAGTTTAGTAATTTAATGCAGTAGCTTACTGATAGGAAACAACTACATACTTGTAAATAACAATACATGATATTCTAACCACTGAAATATTATATTACTATTGAATTAATGAATACAGACGATGTATGCATAATGACATAAAGCTGACGTCACTCTTTGTAAGTATTACTGGAATATAAATTCAGCTGAATCTGTCTAAGTTGTATATGCCTAGTAAGCTGACTTAAGAGCGGACTCGTTGTTTAAACTCAATCAAGGTTAGTAGATTAGAATTTTATGATTATGTATTATTGTGGAGTATAATTTGTTTTATCGTGGGGAACACATAAGCGAGACTTTGTGTTTTTTATTGTTGTAAAAAGCTAAAAATACGTGTACGAATGTGATTTTATTTTTATTCTTTATTTTTTTGGACAATATTCTTGTCTTTGCTTGAGTGGGAATAATTTATAAAACCTCCTTAGTACACAATTCTTAATGTGATTATTACATCACAATTTATTAGCGTTAAACTATTATTTGTTATTGTATTGTACTAATGTCATTATTTGTTTTGATAATATTCAAGTTTTTGTTTCTTTATTTTAATTTTCATATAAGTTTTAAAAACGAATGAGATCAAAAAAACAAAAGAAATTTTTATCTCATGCTACTCAACTATGTATGCGTACATTTTTTGTTCAGAACCTAATATTAAATTGTTTGCTGAAATTTTTAATAAAATTTTACTGTAACACGAGGTAAGTAATATTTAATTCAAAAATCATAGATTCAAAAACAAGGATTTATATTCTTGAAATAACATACAAAATCTTAAGATAAGAAATCAAGTTAGGTTTTATTTATTTTTTTAACGTCTTTTTAAGCCAATACTATAGGGTTTGTTAGTAACAAAAATACAAAACAAACGTACGCTAAAGACATTTTCGACAAGAGTAGCGACATCTTTGTCCTGAATAAAAAGATTGTGACCACCAGGTATGTTCTTCATGATATGTCGCTCGATCTTCTCGTTCTCGAGGATAGCATCACCGTTATCGATTAGAATAGGTGGTGGTGTTGCCTGAAAATTAGTGCGAAAGTCTGGCGGTGGCTTTTGCATATCAACTGTCGTAACTTTCAATGAGATTGTCTTCAGTTCGGCAAGCAAGTAAAGGTCCATGAAGTACTCTTGGCAAAACAGACAAGCGCCTTTTCTACGGCCATCTATCGTGGAAGCCTAAAATAAGAAAATTTAGAAATATATTATCAACATTAACAATCATTTTACTTGTCAAATTTAATCGTAATCATAAATTACCAAGCGTGTAATTTCATAAGACATTAAATTTAAATAGTTCACATTAAAAAAAGCGTTTTTTTTAATTCTAAAATGTTTTTACTACGTAGCATTATTGCTTGAGTATGATGCACATTTTACTAGTATACCACACAATATTTTTTACCCTAAGGAGCTAGAAAATAAGTCCCAGCACCCTAACTAACGTTATTAAATATGAGTTGCTAACAACAGGTACGAAGTGAGTGTATAGTTAGAAAATGTAGTATTTTAAAAATAAAAATAAAAATTTTAAGTTTAGCCAAACTTGCGCAAACATTCATGTTTGGCGAAACTTTGGCCAAGCTTGGGCAATGAGAAAATCACAAACTTAAGTCATCCCAAAGTTTCGCCAAACATAACTTTTGCGCAATTTTGGCCAAACTTAGAAATTTTTACGCGAGATTTACCATTTAATATGTGGTACGATCAAATAAAGCTCCCTACCCCTTAAAGTAAAACTTTGTACCTTTGAGTAGGTGAACACTAAAAAAAATTTGAATAAAAGATTTTTTAATAAAAGATGTTTCTTGGAAAACTTCTACATGTTATTTTATCTGGTGTATTTTCCAGCAGGCTTCGAATTTTTTAAACTCTACACCCGCTTAAGGAGGCTTGGGCATTTGGTGTCGTATCTATTGAGGGGCCCGTGTGGGGCACTTATTATACAAATGATTCTTTGTATTATTTTTTTACAATAATATTGATCATACACACGGGTCAATAAAATAGCAATAATACGCAGAAAAGTAATTGGGGAAATCAATATTAAAATATGTATTAGTTTTCCCAAGATACCGTGTGTAAAGTTGACGACCCTGCCACTATAAAACTGACAACACCGCACCTTGTTTATTCTGCTGTCATACACCTACACTTAAGCTGGACTGGAATCTGTCAAGTTAGCCAATGACTTTTTAGATGAAAGTGATGTTATGGACGCACATAATGCATTAAATGATGTTTTAGTGTTACAAAAACTTATTCATAAGATTTGTGTTGACACATCTGAAATTATGAAATGTACAACAAGTATTGAATTTATAATAATACAAAAGCTAGATTAAAAAAAATCAAAGAGAATAAGAACTCAATGACATATTTAACGAACATAAAATCAGCTATGAAAAAAAAAATTTCTAAGGCTGGTATTGATCAAACAATGCTCCTCAAAGCAACTAAAACTGAAGGATAAAACGGTTTGACATTCCTATTAGAGGAAAATCTGAAGAATAAACCACAAGTTACCACCAACAAAAAAATCGTCTAAAATATTTTTGATCAGCTGGGTTAAAGAAAATAGTGTGTATATTGTTTGTTATAAATGCTATAGAACGATAAATAAATGCTTCTAACAAAGTTAATTATATTCGATTAGTTATTATTTAATAACTATATTATTTTATTTTCAGTTTATTAAAATTATTTTTCAATTACTAGTATACAGAATGTACCATCATTCACTTTCACGTATGCTGTCTATTTAAATGGCGCGCCATCTTATTGATGCACTGTTGCAACTTTGATGGCACATGCACACTCACAGTACTTGAACAAAACACTTCTCGCGTTTGACGTTTTCCTCGCTATTTTCTCAAAATTTAACGTGGTGATTCTATCCTTTCTTTGTAAAATAATAAATTCTTTATAATCTAAACTACATGTATCAATTTGATGTGTGGGCTCACAGCTTTTTATTGCGGTATGGTAAACGTAAATGTACATATTCATGGAATGTGTCCCAATTATGAAAAACTTTGGCGTATCATTAATTTTTTATGTGTAAATAATATATACAGATAAATAAAAAATTACACTGAAATTCATTGAATTCATTATTATGGTGACAAAAATATGAAAACAATTGATAGTGCCATAATCAAATAATAATATGTTAATTAAAGCATCACTCAAATCTTGCACAAGTCAGTAACTCTTAGACGGTGATGCCTGATTTATGGGATTATTTGTTTGCAATGTATTTAAAATTTCCGTAAAAAAAGTTATAACTATAATACTTAAAATGTAATATAAGAGTTCTAAAGTAAGTATTTTATCAAACGTTTGTGTTAAATATAAGTAATAATTTTTTTAATAGATGATTCCGAATTATGTAAATATATTTTGTTCTATGCCGTATTTATGAAATGCAGTCTGAAATTTTTCATAAATATGGCAACGCCTTCCACATGCTTGTGTACATATTTATGGAATCTGTTTTGAAAGGTATAGCTTGATTTGGTTATGATTCTTCTTATTGTGATGAAGTAAGCAATTTGGAATTAAATAAGACTTAGTTGCTATTTACAAGAAAATAATAAATTGTAAAGTAAAATAGTTAATATTCAATATATAAGTAGCTCGTTAATCTTGTGAGTGTCAGTTTTTGTTTGAACGTACAATCTAATCTCAAATGTAAACAAATATTTCATTATCATTTCTTTACAATACTCAATTACTTACTTAATTAATAACTTTTTGCATTAAGCTTGTTGTTATTGCAGACAAACACACGACATGGAGATCAAAATATCATTTTATTCTTTAACATAAAATCCAAAAAAAAAAAATTATTTTTCAAAGCAAGTGGACAAGAAAAATAAAAAAAAGATGCTGTCACAAAAACTAAGAGTAAGATTTAAAAAAGGATATTTTGTATATGATATATAAAATATATCAAGATAATTTAGAAAAGGCAATAAAGTCTGTTGGAAAAGAAAATCTTTAAAACAAGTGACAGAAAGATTTGGAATCCCTGTTTCTACTTTGCATAGGAAAGTGAAGAATCCAGGTAAGGAAAGCTTAAATATAGAATGTAAGTTTGTAAACAAAAAGCCTCGTAGGCACTGGTATGAAGGCTTTCTCAAGAGGCATCCAGATTTGAGTGTACGTGCACCTCAAAACTTATCCTTGGTTAGAGCTTCTGTAAGAGAAGCTGATCTGAGAAACTGGTTTAATGAGGTTGAAAGCCATTTGAAAGATAAAAATTTGATAAATATAGATAGTTCTTGTGTTTCCAACTGTGATGAGACCAGTATTATGCTTAATCCCAAGTCACAAAAAGTTCTAGCAGAGAAAGAGGCGCACAATGTCTATAGAATTGTGGGCGATAATGAAAAGGAGTAACTTACAACAATCTTTATGTACAGTTCTGATGGAACCCGAGTATCTCCAATGATTTTATTCAAGTATAAAGAGAGATTACCCCAAAAAATAGCAGAAAGTATTCTAGAAGGCTGGGGAGTAGGGCTTTCTGATTCAGGATGGATGACATCAAAAACATTTTATGAATATCTAACTAAAGTTTTTCACCCATGGTTGATTAAGAATAATATACCTTTTCCTGTTGTTATGTACTTTGATGGGCACTCATCGCACATGGCAATGCCTACAGTTCCATTTTGTATGGAAAACAAGATTGAATTAAAATCATTGTTTCCCAACTCCACCTATATCCTTCAGCCACTAGATATTGGCTTTTTTCATCCTTTTAAAGAGGCTTGGAAAAGATCTGTACCACAGTGGCTCAAAGAAAATTATCTTATAAAATTGGAAAGGCATCATTTTGCTCCAGTTTTGTACTTAGCTCTGGATTCAATGATAGAAGAAAAAAGTGTTATAGTAAATAGTTTTAATGCAACCTGTCGAATGCCTTTTAATCCAGATATTTTGAACTACAATGTTCTGGAAAAAGGACCAAAGAAAAAAGACTACACAATGTAAAATTGTGAAAAAAACAATCTTTTTTTGGACTTTGAAGAACATATTGACAAAGATTTATGAAACAGATTTTAACAATGTGAAAATACAGGTATATGGGAAGGTGATATTGAAAATAAAGGTATTTTCAACTTTTGGCTACAATTGAAACGGAAAAATACTGATTAATATTCAGTTCGATTAATCATGAATTTTAAAAGACATATTCTTAATTTTATACGTATAAATAAATCTAACAAAAACTTTTTTATGTAACAGGTACTAAAGTAGAAATTTTTTACATCTTTAACACTGATTTTTTTTTATTTAGATTTCACGTCGCAATCAAAGCCTGTTATAAAAAATGACCGTATTTTGAATAATCAGAACGTAAAATTAGTCAAGGAACCTCCACCTGAAAATTTACAGTTTATAAGTAATCTAGAAATAATTAATACACATAATAAAACTTTACCCACAAGTCATACTACAAGTAATTTTAACAGTAATCTACTGCAGTCAGAAGTGATTTTGCCTACAACCAGTAATTCTGATATTTAGAATGGAGATGTAAACTTTAGCTCCATCGAAGATTTAGAAATTATCTTTGAACCTTTGCCTCCCCAACAAGTCCCATCAGATGTTGAAAAACAATCTAATGATAATACTATCGCGTTGGGACCATCTAGTAGACAGCGATGCTGATGTGACAAAAATTTTAAATCCTACCGACACAAACAGTCGGTCTAATTCAAATTTAGAAGTTAACCCATTAAATAATATAGAGGAACAAACAGGTTTGTCAAACATTGTTTATAACCGTATCAATCGTAAATAGTTCGATTATTACATTTTACATTTTTTCACGTTAAAATTGTTTATTTTTATAGAATCTACAGTGTTTAAACTAATGAAGTATCACTTCAGATCAAAGAAAACAATGTGTCAATTATGACAAATGGTTAGACAACTAAATATCTGGTATCGCAAAAATATGTTCATATGGTAACGAATAATTAAGCCTTATAATTAGGGGCCTGTCCAAGTTTTTCGCAAGCGTTAGTTTTTCCTGAAAAATATTAACCGAAAAAAAGTAACTTAAAAGTGAATAAAAAAAATCGATCTAAACTACCAGCTGTGGAAAAATCCAAAGAATGGATTAAACAAAATGAAGAGAAAGAAAAAATTCGGCAGCAGAAAGG